AAATCAGGCTCAATCATGGGTAACAAGACCTCGGCGTTGGCCGTCTTCACAGTTATTAAATAAAATCACAAGTTATGGTGTTCTGTTTGTACCAGTAGGTAGCAAAGGGTCGCCCTTTGAAGATACTGAATGGAGGTTGTCATTCTCAGTAGCGGAAAAACAGCTCATATTTTCCTTTACTCATACACAGTTGTTTTGCTATGCATTGCTCAAAATCTTATTCAAAGAAGTTATTGAAAGTGATTGTAGAGAAGGAGATAGGATATTATGCTCATATTATCTGAAAACAGTTGTATTCTGGGTGTCGGAAGATCTTCCGAACACTAAATGGCATCCAATGAATCTTTTGGCATGCTTTAATAGATGCCTTCAACGCTTAATGTTTTTCATCGAACATAAGTTTCTTCCTCACTACTTCGTACAGGACAGCAACTTGTTTGAAGATAAATCTGTCACTCCGGGCTGGTGTCGTCTAAAACGGTCTCTGTCAGAAATGTATGGCCGAACCATTTTCGAATATTTCGGAAAATCTAAAACAATGCGGGGATTTTTAAGGGAAAGCCAGTATTCGCATACATTGCAAAACATTTCGGCAAGCACACCAGTTATAGATAACATGATAAAAGCAATACGATCAATCCAGAGTGTAAACGTGTTGAATCATATTCCATTTCATCTGATTACAAAACCATTCTTATCCATGCTTGTTAGTCTCAAAACAAAACGCATATTCCCTATAGTGTCATTAGTGTGTTTCCAAGCATGTAGCTCTATTTGCCACACATTTCAGCTGTCGGTTAGAAGTACAATGCTAAATTTAGCAGTTGGAATGCAAACGTTTCGGGTGTTAGACAAACGTCAAATGTCTAGATCATTGGTAGGAATTCGCAACAAGGAACAATACATGCGGCAGAAGCAGTTAATGCCATATATATTACTCAGTACAAAGAACGACTCGGTAGCTGGTTGGCTCTATCTAGCATCTTACTTTTATAATCTAAGAAATTATAAAAATGCCCTGGTCGTAATTGACAATGTGTTAACTAAATGTACCCCAGATAAAATATTCTTTAACAATGCAAGTGGTGGAAATTTCAGTTCTGTTGAACTTGAAGCATATAAGTATCATTTACTTAGCATTGCTGACATTTACCGAAGGAATGTCATGAACGCTTTGTTCTTTATTGACGATGCTATCTTAATTCCAGAAGAACTTAAAAGTGAATTGTCATTTAAAAAACAAGTCGAAAAACCACCAGTTGTTTATTGCCATTTCCTTCGGTTTTTGTGTAACTATCATATGTTCAACAACTCTATTTGTAAGATAGCTTTGTCCGATTTACAGCTTGCCGTTGCAGAGTGCTACTACATCGGAAATCCTACAAATCGAGCAAGTTCTTACACGTGTTTAGGAATTGCACAACAACTGTCCGGCCAACGCGAAGCTGCCATTTCCAGTTTCAAGAAAGCTCTAAACTTTGACCAAAATCTTAAAGATTATGTGAACTTGATGATAGATTCTCTCTGAAATGGCTATGCCACAGTCTATACTGTTAACTTTCACCCTTGAATACTGTTTATATTTTATAGAAAACTATCATGTTGATCTGTTTAGTATTTGTTAATCACTATATCATATTATATAGTTATTTAATTGATTTGAAAAGACTAAATCAAATCAGACGACTAGTAAAATTTAACACTATTAGAATATATCTTGAAATTAACCACCTTTCTGTGTTTTATCACTCTTTGGCTTTCCTTAATTCATAAAAGCACTTCGGCTGCAGCAAAAAACTGCATGTTTTACTTTCATTTAGTGTGTCGATAGAACAACTGGTGATCTGTAACGCTTTTGTATAATAAGTTATGATATTCAAAGGCAAATGGAAATAGCAATGTTTAGTGTCCTTTAATGTCGACTGAGGACGAGAGGAATTAAATATATATTGCTGTTGTCACCGAGACGTAACTCTGCATTGTTTAATTGCCTAATAACTTTGATTGAGTGCAATTACATATGAACTCATTGCATGAAATAATTCGACTGAAAAGAGCTATTGATAATATTCATATCTATACCTTCCTTATTTTTTTTTTTTTTTTTATTAACTTCGATTATCTCATTGTCTATCTATTTTTAAATTATCCCTTTTGGTGCTAGCAGAAAGAGTTGCAGTAATGAGCCTATCGTTTGGCAGTGTTCGATGCAAAAATACGGATCGCATCTATATCCGTACTTAGTTTAAGAATACGATTCGATTCCCGTGTTTAGAGGATACCACACTCTTTGCTCGTGACCTGTTGTTATAAACAACTGTAATACACCCACCATCTTCTTCGAAAAATGTCTATACCAAGTCAGGAGTATGACAATTGTTTTCCATTCGTTCCGTTGGTTGCTAGTCTTACGTTAATGTTGTCAGGTTTTATGTACTTCCCTTTTTTGAATTTACCTTGGAGTTTGGTATTTTCATAAATACTTTTTTCCGTATCTGATAAATTCTCTCATGTTGAAATCCAAATTATTTCCCTCCAGCTCGGTCCACCGCCTAGCAGAGCTTTCCGATTTTTTTTTATACTTCTTATTTGTTTTTTGATCGTTCTGACCAATTAAGACCATTGTAAAAATTGAAGAGAATGTGGCTTTTGTTGGTTGTAAGATAAATATGAAATAGTATGGGATAAGGTGAAGGGAAAATTGATCTTTTGCAAAGTCCCTTGTAATTCCAAAAATTTGGGACATTATCAATTTTAAGGAATCATGGATCATAACATTGTACATAAAGATCAGTTTAAAATAAAAATCTTTTTGATAGTCAGAATTTTGGACGAATACTTCCGTATCTAATGATATTCAAAATAAAAAGAAGATTAAGTTAAAGGCTCGGATTTTGTTTTTAATAAAAACTTACAATCGGAACAACTTATTGAAAAGCATTAAAACAAAAAGGAAGTCACCTTTACTGAAATAATTACTGACATGTGAATTTGAATGAACCAATATGGAGTTATACATACTTATGTATACCATTTGAAAAAATGACAGAAACAATGTTCCTGCAATATATTTCACATCAGAGCAACTATTTTTTAATCTTCACTATAAATCCCAATAATTCAGCTAAAGACAGTTTAGATTTTTTCATGTCGGTGTATTCTATAGCTGAATATACGGTATGGATTTTATTCACATTGTTGGAGGCCGTACGGTAACCTATAGTAACTTAAATCCACGTCATTTGGATAGTTATCTCACTTGCAATCATACCAAAGCTTTATATTTTTTTATATTAAAACTGAATACCAATTATGATGAATTTTGTCAAATTGTGAGTATTTTCCCAAAATTCATTAGATGGACATTTTTAATCAAAAGTCAAATATCGACAATTCAGAAAATCGGTACATTGTTCGCCAGTTTAGACATTGTATAATATTGCATGTTTTTCATACAAAGCAAATTAGACTGATTGAACTGAATGCGGGCGGGCAGTTGGACAGGAAAACAGACATTTTACATTCCGTCAACATGAATTACTCTTATTTATATCTTCCATTAGATAACTTTTAGTGCTATGTACTTTCCAGTCTATAACTTTCTTTGGAGCACGGCATGGTGATGTCAGTAGAAATATAATGCATCTTTGTGTTTTCTACATATTCTGTGAACTGGTTGTAATGGTTATAATTGTCATAATAGGAGTTTACTATATTAACTATAATGATGTTTATTTATAAGTTAATGTAGGAAAAAAATATTTTAAATGTTATTTAAATAAATCATTGTAAATAAATATATTTATATTTATTATTATATAAAATTTGAAATTGTAATATCAAATCAATAATTTTTTAAATTGTTTTTTTTTTTTGTAAGTTTCGTAAGTGCTGCAGCACATGTACACATGTCTAATTAATGTAGGCGTGTTGAATGATTTTATGTTAAGATATAAAATAAAATATAAATTGATTTGAATATGCGTTTGTTCGTTCATACATCTGTCCTATGGTCAATATTATGCTTTCCCAATACACTAAGTATTAGATACATCTATGAGGGCGTTAGCCGGAATGGGTGTATCTAATTTACACCAAGATATTATTGTTAATGCAGAATGATAGTTTTAATAATTTAGGTGGGGGTCTTTCAGCGATTTGACCATATGATATCAATAAGCATGATAAATGCAAGGTATCCAATTTCATTTAACGACATCATGGTGTAAGTATTAAAATACAAAAATAGTTGCCTTTTGAGTATACGACATACATATCATGCATTATTTTAGGGCGTACTGCTACTACTCACACGCTGTTAAACTAAATGAATGTTTAAAATATTAATGTTGACAGACTAAGATTTTTCAGTTTCCTCAAGGTATCGAGACAAAAAACAAAATGCTATGATTAACGAGGGCGCTGCACGTGAATTTCGAACAGCGGTATACTACTGTTGCCTTTATTTTTCTAGAAGTAATTTCGTCAGTATGTGTGTTACCATACGTTGTGAATGCTAAAGTATTAAACAATTGGGAGCATAAACAAACCGAAATGGCCTAACTAGAATAGCCAAACACTTTGCATAAGGGACTTACAACCTTAGATACTTATATATAACTACTAATTATATGGAATGGTAATTTACAAACAAAACGAATCAAGATCTGTTTCTTAATGATAGATGATACCGAATTATCTTAGAAAGATTAATTGTTTCCAATTTGTGTTTCGGAAGATGTCATTGAGTTCATATGTCAGATCTCTCTCGTAATATTGCTCTTTCCATTCCATTTTGTGCTTTACTACAAACATGTACATTTAAATCTGACGAATTTTATAAGACCATAATGTAAATTGTCAAGAGGGTAACAACCTTACCGCATTAAAATACACGAATTAGACATAAAACACTTAAATAGTATTTACGTCAAAATGACAAAAACTACATGAAAGCGGAAAAGGACAAAAACCTTTAATTAGGAATCTAAAACAGAATAAGTGTGCTTAGAATAATGACGGAAATCCCAATTTAATGAACACTATCTTACTATTCTGTACACCTGTAAATTTCTTCCGATATAAATAACAGGTATTTTCAATCAATTTCTAAAAATAACTTAAATTCTCAGATCAAGAACACGGAAGTGATCACAAACATGTAAACAATACATATCAAAGATGAGCTCTACACCTTCTTGTTGTGATTGGAAACTAAGTGAAATATTAAAAACACTCATCACAAACACTGCTGGACTAGATGTTGGACAAATCATACATATAATATTACAACTTATATCATTCTTTATTCTCATCGGTTGTTTGGTTGCTGATCAGTGGTTGTCCGGAGATATTGGCAATCAAGGTCTTTGGAATTACTGCTACACGAACGGGACATCTTCGTGCTGTGGGAAGCTTGATGATGTTGTGGGTTATAAAGGTGAGATAGTGTTTTATGCAAATCACATCTTGATTTATATCACTGACTTTCCTTACATTACTTGACAACTTTCATTTTCTCATTATTCCACAAAAAAATCAGAGAAATGTTGATGCAGCGCGTAATACCTGAACGACAGAAGGATTGATTATTTTTAGTTGCTTAACGTCCAGTGGCAAATATTACATCCATGTTCAGAACTGAGCTGAAAAGTACAACATCTTAATCTTTATTAATTACTTCTTATCTGTGCCACAGAACATCTTACTAATAGGGTCATTAAATATGTCAAAGAAAAAAAAAAAAAAAAAAATTCCATATTTTGTTGTCAAAATCGTTCCTAACTACATTAAAACTACTAACGTTGTTCGACAATCAATTTATTTCTTTATCCGTTTATCTATCCATTGGTATATACGTGCACTTCAAACTTATATATTTCACTTAACTTTTTTTGTTTTAGATTTTATTGGTGCAACACGAGCTTTTTTAATTATTGAAAGTTTAATTTTCCTTGCAATATTTTACACCATCTACAAAACAGTATACAAGAACGATTCAGATTACTTGATATCAACTTTTCTAACCGGAGTTATCGGTAAGATTTTAATTGAAATTAGTATCGAATGTATTTTGTTGTGGTCATTTCTTGTTCTTGTCCTCTTTTTGCAATTCTCCCTTAGTGTGTCTGATTTAAAATCTAAATTCCTTTCAACCAGTAAAATGGTTAAAAATTCAATGTACAAATTCAAAGGTAATTATGATGTGTGAACAATAAATCCTTATTGTTTTGTTACGGTTTCGGTTACATTGATCGGTGTTCAAGTAAACAGTAAACAATAGCATGTAAGATTTATTCAGAATGTTTAATGGAATAAAACACTCGTTAGAAAACAACTACTATATGTTGAAAACCAACTCACAAACTAATATGCTTTCTATCGATTCACTATTTTATGATATCAGACGGGGCTTCGTATTTATATCCGCACTTAAAACAGACGCCCAAAGTTGGTAAGGGTTATACTTTTGGAAGAAAGAAGTCCAAGAATTACCATAATTGTTCCGTAGTGATTAACTATTAAATACAACAGGTTGTTTACATACGTACAATAAATACAGACTTAACCCTTTTGACTTGACAACCTTATATCGGATATGTTTAAGCATTATATATAATAAGGAATGTCGTGTATACATGAAGGATTTTAATTTTTAACAGGTTTAAATTTTTCATGAATGAAATTAAAAAAAATGTTAATGGAAGAAGAAATATGGTAACTAATTAGACTTCTTAATCCTAGTAATTAAACCAGCCGTAGAAGTCTTTTTTGGCAGAATGGGATGTATAAATACACATTCCTATATTCGATCGAGCGTTAAGTTATTTGGTGATTATTAAGAAACCAAAGTTTCAACACCCTCAGGCAAAGTTGACCTCAGATGGATTCAACTATTTATCAATGTCCTTTTCGGTCATATAGCTCTTCAACTGTTTCGGTTCTTATACATCTTTGGCTTTCAATTATTCGGCTTTGAGCGTTCCTGATAAAGGTAGATCCATAAAATATCTTCGGACGCATGGAATTTATAAAGTGGTGTTTTCATTTTTTATGTTAAGAGGTTTCCATACCTTTTACATCTAAAGGAATCATTGCAACACTCTTTTTTAAGAATCCTATAAAAAATGACCTGTTGCGTACCAAAATTGCTACATACCTGATTAATTCATTTTTCCTAGTGAAAGATCAAATTGCTGGCCCTGCAACCGGGTCAGTTCTCTTTATTGAACCTACAAAATTAGTTTAAGGTTTAAATTGTTATTGTTCTCGCTAAGGAGGTCCCATAACTTGAGAACAACCAATCTTAGAGTTGTCAACATTGTAAATGAAATAGCTTTAGTTGATTGTATATAATGTTTTTCCTTGGAGTTCGGTGTTTTTTGTTATTTTACTTTTTTTTGTAGTACATAGAAAATATGAAACTTGAAAATAACTTGAATTTGTAACCGGGTTACTAGGTAAAAGGAAATCGGATTTTAAGTAAGACACACACGCGGGCTGTTTATTAGTATCCATTCTATAAAGACAGTTCGGTAAATTATAAACATGAAGGGTCTTGTATTTATAGATATAAACATGTCGCTAATATTTGGTAAAGATCTGTTAAAATTTGAGGTTATCGCAAGACATAATTATCTCAAAAGTTGTCTCAAGACCGACAAATCTCAAAAATCATCAGAATAAAAATAGGAGGTTAATTTATAGGTTTTAATATTATAAAAACAAATTTTTTACAACATGTTCCTTTTCATAATAAACTTCCCATATATCAAACGTTAAAATTCCGACAATCCTTATAATGGACATTGGGTTTTAGTAGCAATTTGAGTATTACATGTATGTTTATTTTTAACAACCATTGGAAGAAAAACTAAGCTATCGTACGACAATTTGGATTGACAGACATACCTTTTTACAATTTAAGTTAATGTACCACGACTCCGTATTATCAAAAAGCGAATAGATTGTTATACTTTTATTAACTAGATGGCTAATTGGAAGAATTGCTGACAAATAGAGAAATGTTCTTCAATGAAACTGATATTAAGTCATAATATAACCATGGTTTCTTTTATAACTTCAGTCCCAATACTCTAAAACGACAGTTTAGACAATCATTACATTCGAAAAATAAATATCTTCCACTATTTTCTATATGTAGGAAAATTTCATGACAAACGGTCAAAACATATTTAAGAAAGAGTGGACTAACAAACATCAGTGTTTACAATAGTCCACTCAGTCGACGTATGTGAGGACTTTTTTGTTTGACTTCTCCATTTCGCATATAGTGATGATCTTTTTATCTTATTTTTAGGTTTTTGTACTTTCCTATCAATAACCATTTATGGAGCACGACATGATGATGTCAGTAAAAGTACAATGAAGTTGAGTGTTTCCTACATATTCTGTGCGCTGAATCTCGGTTTACAGATTATTATTGGCGTGTTTGGGTTATGTTGGATTTAATGTGATTATGTGAATTAACGTGTTAATATATTGATCAAATTCTTTGTTTGCAAGTTAGATTTTCAAAATAATGTTACAGTAGTCATATCAATAAATAACTGTATTTGCCATTTAAAAATTTTGAAAGTTGTAAAATCTAATCATTATAATTTATTATTGTTTATTGTTATTTTATATATTAAAGTCAGGTTGTGAGGAGGGGTTAGCAGATCAATCTCCATATATCTGATATCTAACCCCAAGATATGACCTAACTCGTAAATCATTGGTCATGTAAATTATTTAACCCTGCCTAAAACTTGACCGAATGTAAACTTATGAAATAGAATCATCAATATTGTAAAATGTTATTATATACATCAAAGTCCTTAGAGATGTCGATCAACTGCATCATGAAAATTAAGTCGATGTAAAAGTTGTGGGGAATATAGTTCCTTGTAGAATATTACTGTAAGTAGTCGCTTGCCTTTTGAGTTTTCATGTAAATCACACATATTCAAGAAAATACAGTCGTTATTCATGCAATGGCAAACTAAAACAAATGTTAGTAATCAATTGTCAAAATCATTTGTTGAAGGGATAGTCTTTCTTTTGCCTCAAAGTATTAAGACCTAATTGAGAATTATTCCGTTTCATCAAACTAATAATACAAACGATCTAAGAGCGATTCTGACTGTCGTTTTTTTTACTTCTAATTAAACTTGTCATAGATACCAGGATTAAACTTTTGTACGCCAGACGCGCGTTTCGTCTACAAAAGACTCATCAGTGACGCTCAAATAGAAAAAGTCTAAATAGAAGTTATTATTATATATAGGTTTCTTGTTTTTCGCGCTGTTACCGTATTACAATATTCCTTTTTTTATTGCATACATATCGTTTTTGTCTTTTTTATTGTTTGTTTACCCGGATACCCGGTATGATGATACGATCGGTTTCATCTGTTTCTAGTTGCATGGCTCAAGTACTTAATTCTGGAATAATTGCGACTGTCCTATTTTAGAGTCTACTTGTTGGGAGTAATTAGGAATATCCCAAACTGTTCAAAATATAAAAGTGAACTAGATTATGATAGTGTTTTTATGTGCAGTCTAAAATGTAAACTAGTACTCAACAATACAATTGCATAAAAACAGAACGACGAAAAGATGAAGAGCAGTCCACAAAATACTACAAAAAACTAAAAGATTGAGCAAATCGATCCCCATCAATAAAACAAAGAAAGAAAAAAAGAAAGAAATAAGGTGCAAGTTCAGATGGTCCTGAAGTAAAAGAAGTTATAAGAATACCAACATCTAACGTCAAAGTACCCAAATTGCACCGAGTACCCAAATTGCACCTATTTAGCAAAAAAAAAAGATGCAGCGGAAATCTTACAAGATTTTTTAGAGACTAAACAATTTGTATTTTTATGATTTGACACTATGCACGTCTTTCAACATAGCTAAATATATGTAGATATGCACAAAGCTTTCACTATATATATCATCAGATGAAGTATTCACTAGAAAAAGTAAAATCTATGAAAACGTCGCCATGCGACGTCCACAAAAAAGTCGTCTTTTAAAAATTAGCAAATAAAACATGTTACAAGCATCCATTTCTTAAAAAATGAATAGTAAGCATGGACTAATTTCAAATTGTTCTAAATATTTGAAGAAATAAAACAAACCATCTGTTATTTGATTTCTAAGAATGTGAATTTAAGAATGGATACAATTTGGGTACTCCTCATTACAGAATCATGGATCGTTTGGAGGTCGGTTCAAACCCATTTTTCTATGATTCAATATGGATTCAAAATTAAATTGGCGGAACTATATAGTAAATAAGGATACATCTACAAAATAAACCCAGAATGGAAACTTTTGCCTGGATCATAAATAAACGTAGGTGAACAAACTGTCAAAATAGGTGCAATTTGGGTACCCTCACGTTACATGCTTAAGAACCCAGGCAGATCAGATACTTATATAAATGACCTGATGTAATTAAGATATAATAATTCTACACAATCCATTTATATGTCTTCTATTTGGCGATAGTATGTACTATTTCACAATGTACGTCAAATTCCTAAGACCCATTCCTTGATCACTTGCATATATGTCGATACTACACAAACAGGAAAACGATACAAGTCTATAAAAAGAGAGGCAACAGGTACCAAAAGGATATTCAAACTCACAAGTCGAAAACAAACTGACAATGTCATGACAAAAAACGAAAACAAACTGACAATGACATGGCAAAAAACGAAAACAAACTGACAATGACATGACAAAAAACGAAAACAAACTGACAATGTCATGGCAAAAAACGAAAACAAACTGACAATGTCATGGCAAAAAACGAAAACAAACTGACAATGACATGGCAAAAAACGAAAACAAACTGACAATGTCATGGCAAAAAACGAAAACAAACTGACAATGTCATGGCAAAAAACGAAAACAAACTGACAATGTCATGGCAAAAAACGACGACAGACATACAACAGAACACAAAACACAACATAGAAAACTAAAGACTGAGCAACGAAGAATTGTACTTATTAGAGAAATATAGTCTCATAAGTGTTTCTCGTTTCTCGTTTTTTATATAGATTAGACCGTTGGTTTTCCCGTTTGAATGGTTTTACACTAGTAATTTTAGGGCCCTTTATAGCTTGCTGTTCGGTGTGAGCCAAGGCTCCGTGTTGAAGACCGTTCTTTGACCTATAATGGCTTACTTGTATTAATTTTGACTTGGATGGAGAGTTGTCTCATTGGCACTCATACCACATCTTCTTATATCTATGTAGACATCTTCAAATTCATCTTATAAAATTTATATTAAATAGATAACACTAATACGATTAAGAATAAATAATAGAAAGACAAACATTTCACACAACAAATGACCGTCGCAAGTGTCGTTACATTACATACATACTAGAACACACCTGTGACATCGCGGGTCCGTGACTGAATTAAAGTACCTACGCCTTATTTCTAGCCTGGATTTTTAGTATTCGTATTGTCATATGATAAAGTTATGCTGATAACAAGGTGCACAGTTTTCTCTGCTTTCAAAATCTTTCTGTTTGAGCCCGTCCTGGTTTTCTTACTACAACCTGAAACTACATCTGACATATACTATTGGTATCGGTATCGGATTCGACCTGGAACTTGTTAAAAATTGGTAATATTAATTATGTGGAAAACAAAAGGGCCTGGAATGGTGTAATTTTCAATCAACACTATTGTCCTATATTAGTAAAATATAAATTTAAGTTGAATTCTTTGATTTGTCGTTTTTACGGCATGCCGGTTTACAAATTGGACCTAGTTATTTTAGCAGTATAAGTTGGTATATGATTCAAGACATATCCTCAACCTTTGTATATATGTAGGCAATATTGGTCTTTGCAGTTAATGTATGTCAAATGTGTTTTAATGTAAATGATTGTGTAGACTTCATACCCGAAGGTATTTTCGTATTTCGTACAGGCCAAATGGCAATTATGTATTGGAACGATTGGAATTATATATTTTACCATGAATATTCATTTTATAAATTACTAGTATATTCTTGTTAAAAAACGACGGAGGGTTGCAGGTTCCTCATGTTTTATGGATAGTTAGTCTCATTTGAGGGGAGGGGTAAACGAAAGTACCTGATGGAAATTATTCCAGTATAACACGTTTATATTTCATGACAGCAGACAAAACATGTATACTTGTAGCTTGACATTAGTTCATTAAAATTTTCAATATCTCAGCTTTGGGTTTAAACAACACTGTGACGTATTTTTGAACAAATGACAAAAGGTCTAAAGATTACTAAAAACTGCTATTTCGATGGAATTTGACAAATTTTACTATTCGAAAAAACTGAGCGAAAAGGACATTCTTAGCAAAATTAAAAAAAATATATATTGAAAGTAAAAGCTATGAATTTTCACAGATATGAATATATTCGTTTTATCAAAATGACACTCGATGCAAAGTGTTACAAAAAGACGGTTAAAATTTGTGAGGGTAAATTAGTTATACATCTTTACCCCCATGTAATAAAATTCCCACAACTCCAAAACGACAGTCTGAAAATCGTTACAATCCTACGCAAGTTTTTCTATAATGTTAAAATTTCATGCACTATTTTATCGGTTAAGGCAAATTAAACTCAGTTTGGACGGGCAGACAGACTGACAGATAGTTGATATGCCATTATACGTTCACTCAGTTGACATTGTTTTGATGATTTTTGTACCCTTTCTTGTTTATTTATTCCATTTGACAGAGTGCTATAATGTTTTCGTTTATAAAATTAATTTTGGAATGTTGCTTTTAGTTTTTTTTACTTTCTTGTCCATAACTTTCCATGGAGCACGACATGGTAATGTCAGTAGAACTATGACGAGTCTGAGTGTTTCTTGTATTTCTGTGCGCTGAATCTCGGCTTACAGATTATTATTGTCTTATGGGATTATTTTATACTATACTCATGAGTTAAACCTTAAAAAAAATTATCTTGTGTGTAATGTTCTTTTTTCTAATTAAATTTTGTCAATAAAAATAATTGTTATTAACTAGTCATAATTATTTATCATATTTACAACATCTTTGTGTTGTGGGAATCTTGATGATATTTTAGGCTATAAAGGCTATAAAGGTTAGTTAGTAAATTGCAAATTACGTCATATTATTTTTCACTCAACTTCCTGTACTCCTTGAATGTTTCTTGAAAAATTCCAAATTTTAATTATATCGAATAATGAAAACAATACTTTTTGAATTCCATGCGTCCGCAGCGCTTTCCGTGGTTTTCATTCATCATGAACGCCCACAAGCAATTATTTGAGAGCCAAGAATGTAGAACCGAAACAGTTGAAGAGCTATATGACCAAAAATGACATAAAATATTAAATAGCTAATAAAGTTTAACTTGAGTCTTCGCATGAGGGAGTTGAATTCAAACCTTAGTTTCTTAATAATTTCAAAATTTATCAACGGACAATTTAAGAAAGGTTTGTTATAACTCATGACAGTACCGAAGGCACTCAGCTACTGAGCTGGTGATACCCTCGGATCGACCAAGTGCTGTAAAAATGAAAACAGCCTTTATGAATTTCATGCGTCCGACGCCCTTTTCTGGATTAAAATGTCACAGAAAAAAA